CACACAGTGTCAGTATGTTGGGGGTAACGCCGATCCGACCTTACGTACCCGAGTGGGGGTTGTCCAGACGCCCCCTCGCGCCGTGAAACAGATGACTGGGGGCCACCACCAGCACGGCCCCCAAGACGCCCCGGCATGACCCCAGGAGAGGCCCCACAAGAAGCTCCGAGCCTTGAGCGAAGAACTCCCAGAGGCGGCCCCCCAGGCCTCCAAGGGACCCCCCAGAGGCCCCCAAATCGGAAGCCCCATGCCCTCCTCTGGAGGTCGGCGGAATGCCGCAAGCGCTTTCGAATCACTGAGGGCCATCACCGCTCCGAGATCGTCAGCAGAAACACCACTATTCAAGAAACACGGCCCTTGGAAAGGGGTTGAGACCTCTGGGCGTCCAGGCTGCTCTGGACAAAGTCGCGACGTCTGAGATTTGGCAGGGGCAGTCAACATTGAATCGGCAAATCGAGTCGAACGTAATCGAATCGACACGTGCATCGGATCGGGCTGCATCGGCAGGGAATTGAAGCCGAATCGGATCGGCTGCGCTGGGATGCTCAACAGCGCCAGGCAGGCATCGGGCCGCATCGGATCTTCGTGACATCGGAACCGAATCGGATCGGATCGAGTGTATTTTTGAATAGTCATCCTGTAGATGGACAGGCCCGACTTGACCCTAGGCGTGGCGGGTTCGGCCCACGGGGGTCCCATCGCGCCGCGCGCCGCCGCAGCGCTGCTGGGCGCTAGTGGGCGCTACCACTGGGCGCTGTTCGAGTGATCTTCGGCGCCACTGGGCGCTGCTGGGCGCTATTCGCCAAGGTGTGCGTTCAGTGCAAGACGGCCGATATCTTCCAGGAGTTCCTATCCCGAAGAACTTTCCCCTTTCGACTCGCGATCCGGCGGCGCGCCCGAAGGGGGAAGTGAGAGGAGGGTGCATGCCTTCTCAGAAAGCGGCGGAGCTTCTCGGAAGCCCTCCTCTGGCTTTCTGAGAAGGTTCCCGTGTCTTCGGGGAAGGCTCCGAAAAACATCACAGAAGGCCTGAGGCCTTGCGAGCCTCCTGAGATGACCCGGCCCATCTCGGACGCCAGGTGGCTTTGGGGATATATAACTTGCTTCTCCGGCGGCCGCTCGGGACGATACCCGGGCATCCCTGGAACGCTCTCGGCGAGGCGCAGCCGCTGGAAGGCACCCCGAAGCTGAAAGCCCACCCAGAGCCGAGGAGACTCCGCCGGGAGCTTCCCCCTGCGGGCTCGCCGCCCATCGATCCTCGGTCCCGTTTCTTCCTCCCCCCCCGCGGGAGCCCTATCGCGACCCGCGGCGCCGAGGCGCTCTGCCCCGCAAGCGGCGCCCCCCTGCTCGGTTATTCAAGGACGGGGTCCTGACGGAGGGGGTCCTACGGGCAGGGAGGAGATCCAGGGTTGTGCTGCTCCCATCGTGCCGGAGGGCCATTTCCCAGAAATAATTTCGAGCACCCAGAAAAGTATCGAAACAGTGCCGAACGAGTATCGCCTCCCAGGGCCCGACGCGTGAAAGCCCTCAAATTTCGGTACTTTCTTGGTGCTCGAGGTTCTTTTTGGTGATGAAGGCTAAAGTAGGTTGGGACATCATCAATCCAGGGGTGGATTTACGGTCAACCCGTATAGTAAGGATGCGCGGTAAGGATGCAAGGGCCTTGAGCGCCCACGCCGAGGCTCTTTGAGCGGCGCTGGCCATCGAAAGCGGTTGACGATGGACCGAAGATGACCGAAGAGGCAAGGGTGCGTGTGTACCCTTGGGAAGACGATCATCCTTACTATTCGGGTTGACTGTGCATTCTTTGAGGCACCCAGTCCTGAGGACCCCATCACGCAGTGCGGGCAAGACTTGCGTCCATATCCACTGCAGCTTGGAGTCTCGGGCCCTCTCCCCCAGAAGCCCGAGGCGCACTGGCTATGGACAGAATTCTGGCCCCCAGAGGCTAGATTTGTCATCCATATCCAGTGCGCCTCGGCCTTGCGGTACCTCCTCCGAGACAGTCCAAGACGCAGTGGATGTGGATATGAGCATTGCCCGCGCTCAGGACCCCATCTGGAGGCCTCCGAGGTAGGGTCCGAGTAGATGGGGTCGGAAGATCGCGCCGCATCGCCGATGCATCGCCGATGCATCGGCGATTTCGGCGGTGCATCGCCGACACCAGCGCGGAGACTTCCGGGCTCCACATCGATCCGCATCGCCGATGCATCAGAGATGCGGCGCGATCCTCCGACCCCATCCACTCGGACCCCATCTGGGAGGCCTGGAGTCGTGATTTGTGCAAGACGTCGACCCCCCAAGAGGTCTCGACCCATTCCCCAGGACTGCTTCTTCCTTCTGACTCGTTTTTTGACGGCCCCGGGGCCTGGCAAGGGTCCCCAGAAGCTGACAACGGTGAAGAAAACCTGCAGTCGCGCCTGGGGGGCCTAGAACCCCTTAAAAAAGGGCTAGGATCGGGATAAATCGCTCCAGAGCTTTCCGGAGCGCTCTCAGAGCGTTCCGGAACGCTCTGGAGCGGCCGCGGCGCCCAATACATCCTCCAAACCCGCCGATTCTCAGAGATTTCGAGCTGTCCCGATCCGATTTTGTCCCGATCTTCGCGTCGTTTGACCCCTCAGGACCCCATTTGGGAGGCCCCTAAACCCCTCAGGACCCCCGTCTTTGAACCCCCGACCTGCTGCGGCCAGGCGCGGAGGAGGCCCTGGCACCGGCCGCCGCGGCCTGGGCCGCGGCGGCGGCCTCGGCTCCGCCCGCGCCGGGCCCTCCGCCCGGCTGGCAGGCAGCCCAGTGCTCCTCTCGGGGACGTCCAGGAGAGGAGGCCTCTAATAGTAGGTCGGGCATGTCCTCCTGCAGGCGGATTTTGGATGACAAATGGAACATAACCAAACAATATTCAAACATAGTCACGACTTGTAGAAACACCGTCCCCAGACTAATGCATTTTGATTATTTTTGGCTACTCCTCCTGTAGACGGACATGCCCGACTTAACTTGATCTAAAAATCATCCAAACATAATCAAAACATCGTCCCCATACCATGTGTTTGTAACTATTTGTCAAACTCCTCCTGTAGAGGGGCATGCCCGACTTAACTCTAAGATGAGGAAAATATGAGAACGATACCCAAACTCAGCGGAAGAACGGGTAATTACCTCTACCGCTACCTTTCTCTCGTTTTCCTCTTCTTGGGCCTCATAGGAGGTCCTCGTCGCCACGGCTGGGTTCGCCGCGAAAGTCTGGTCAGAATGCACCCCGCGGAGAGGTGCGGGGAGCAGCGGTACCGGCACTCTGGGCCTCTCAGATGGGGTTCGAGCGGATTGGGTCGGAGGATCGTGCCACATCGCCAATGCATCGTCGACGCCAGCGATACGTCGGGGTGGAGAAGATCGGGCCCCACATCGAGCCGCATCGCCGATGCAGAGGCGATGCGGCGCGATCCCCCGACCCCACCTCATTGCTCCGATCCCGTCGAGAGACACGAGGGAGGCGTCCGGGAGGGGGTTCGCACATCATGGCCCGAAGCACGTGCACGGACGAGAGGGGGGCAAGGGACGTGTTAAGCGAAGAATGAGGTCGGGCGTGCCCTCCTGCAGGCGGATTTTGGACGAAGAATCAAACATTATCAAACCATATTCTAAAATGATGGGGAAATAATAGAAGAATCATCCCCTGACTATATTTTGAATGCTTTCGACTGTTCCGCCTGTAGAGGGACATGCCCGACCTACGCGAAGAAGAGGGGGCCACGAAGCCCCGGGGAGACATCCTGGCCTCGGCACCGTCCCCGTCGGGCCCTCCGCCCAGCGGGCAGGCCGTTTTTCGCGCTCCTCGGGCGGGTGGCCCTGAGGTCTGGGCGTCGCAGTTCTCTCGCGCTGGGCGATCGCGCCATGCTTCGGGCCCTGGGGGCCATCACAGATCGATCCGGCTCGAACAATGCATCCGGAAGATGGGGTCTCGGACTCTGGTCGAAAAGCTTGTGAGCGTCTTCTCATTCGGCGTTTCGACACTGGGCGAAAGGGGGGGGGGAGGGGGGGGTCCTACTCCGGACCTCTGCTCAGTGCGACTGTTTGCAGCAGTGCGTCCTCTGGGGGAGGCTCCACCTGCTCGAAACAGGCGCCCCAAACAGCCACGATCTACTCCACGGGGGGGGGGGAGGGAGGGGTACGAGGGCCCGCGCCGATCGGCAAAATAATTAATAAAAAACGCACGCTTTCGTGATGTTGCATATACTTGTTTCGGAACATCGGATCCCAGGGCACACGGAGAGGCCCGAGCGAACCGGGATATCCGACGTCGCGACTTGTTTGGTGCAACATGGTCCACTCGATTTTGGCCTCGATGCGTGGTGGCTGCGTTCTCAGGCCCTGGGAGTCATCAACATGTTTCTCCAGGGCGAGAAACCGCCTCTGGGGAAGGCGTCGGGGGCTCTGGGGTCCTTGTCGGGATGTCAGGTCGTGGGGAGGCCTGGACGAACACAGGGTCGAGGTTCGAGGATCGATGCGCTTGGATGTGTTATGACCACGTTGTCCTTGAAAGGTTTCGGAAAGGTTTGTGTCTTCACCTTTTCGGGCTGCCTCCCTTCAGCTCGAAACGGCCATAGAGGCTCCAAAGATGGCCACAGGACGGCCCAAGAGGGCACCCAAATAACCCAGAATCAATGAAGACGGCCTGAAGAGGGCCACCCGACGACCCCCGACAGCCCCAAGAGAGCACCAAACTGACCCAAACGGGTCTCTGGAGGGACACAAGATGGCCTTAGAGAGCCCATCGACGGACCAAAGGCGGCCCCACGACGGCCGCAAAAGACCCCCAGACGGCCACGAGGGCCCCAAGACTTCCCAAGAGAGTTCCAAGGCAACCGAAGAGGGCCCCAAGACAGCCCAAAGTGGCCCAAAGGGCTCCCAAGACTGCCCCACAGGAACCCACGAAAGCACGGATGAAAGGGAGGCAGGCAACAACGACGAGAAGAGAACCCCAAACGCGACGCGGAAGAGTGTGTCACACGCCACGCTGCCCCCAAGCCTCGGGAGACGAGGCGTCACACTTTACGGGCGCCAGCAACGGGTCTTGCCGCAGGCAGCTGGATGCTATACCCTGAGATTCGACGTAGCGAAAAAAGTGCAAACTCGTAAAAAAAACACGCCTGGAGCTCTAGACCTTGTCTTTGTCTATAAGATGAGGTACCTCTCGGAATCCTCGCGTATGTACCAAAATTCCACAGGAACCCGAGCCACCCACGGACCAGAGCCGAAGCCAAGGCTGTGCACAACTCAAGCCCCCAATGCAAGGATGAGGAACTCCGTGACATCTTGAAGGTCGACAAAATTGTTGCCGTACACGATCGGCAGGGTGGGCGGCTCACCGAGGTGGAGGCCTCGCAGCACCAATATTCATGTCCGATACAAAACCCATCCAGATAACACCAAAAGTTCCAGACATACCTCTGCGAAGCCTTCCAGGGGCGGCGTGTCCCTCTCCTCGGGGCCGCCGTCTTTCCGGCCCCAGGGCTGGCAAACGCCGCCTCCGTCCTGGGGCCAGGCACCGACGACAACATCACTTCTGACTCCCGCCACCTGTCCCGCCTCCACCACGCCTCGGTCTTGACTTCAGCGTACCCCGCAACGATTGCTCGTCCTTCGTCTGGAAGCTCCTCGCCAACTCGATCACGACTGACTTCGGCGGGTCCGTCCACAACAACAACGTAGCGACAGTTTGGGTGAAATCTGATGGCGCCAAATCGGTAAAAGACAAGAAACTTCCAAGTCCTGTCCTCTTTCGGCTTGTTGCACCTCGAGGAGAACTCTCCGATCCGTATCTTCAACATCGCGACCTCGTCCTTCCTCGGGCCCTGTGCGGCCTCACGTGCATTCTTCACTTTCTGGTCTTCTGGCTGCTTCTTCGCGTGGTCCTCCAAGATCGGCTCCACGAGCGCTGGGGAAGAAATGGAAACTCGCGCGCCCTTCTTCAGATCCCAGGGGTGCTTCGGGAACACACTGTCCTTCTTCATCTGCTCCGTCACCTCGGGTTTCTGCTCGTGCCATTCGTCTACCATTGCCGAAAACGCGCTCGCCTGCTCGGTGCTTTAGGGTCAAAGAACATATTGTTTTGACGTCAGAGTCGCACGAGCCGATGCCTTGAAATTGAGATAACCCCTCAACACCGCAGTGTTCACTCCGTCCTCGTCCTGAACGCCCTCTCCTTCTCCCTTTGAGCGTTTCGTCGATGGGGCTCCCGCGTCCGTCTCCTTCTTCTCGGTCGAGGCAGCTGGGCCCCTCGCTTTCTCTGCTTCTTCGAAGCCGCCGCCGAACATGTCTCGATCGCAGACATCAGCTCCAGAAAACGCATGTGCAGTGTACGGGGGGCCGCGCGAACAACGTCTAAACTTGGGCCCAAAGCTTCAGCCATTCACTTCATACACATATTCCACAGTACTCATCAAGCTCAAACCTCAAATTCAGTGGAGTAAAACAACCCCCAACCAATTTTCACATATACATTGTCAATGTAAGCCCAAACCGAAGCTACTCCACAACTACAACTTCACTCCAGCGGGGTATGATAGATAGATGGACGAAACTGCCCTTGGAGGTCATGCGCTTCCTCCAAAGTCCGATGCCATTGTTTGCTACCCAACAGTAAGTTGTGATGTATCCGAAGCTCCCGGCATCCTCTTTCGCGACGTGCACGGCCGTGAGCGTTTGCCCAGTACGTGCCACAATGTGTACAAGGGCGCTCTCTGATGTGCGTGCGTGTCAACACCCTGGCATGTGTCAACCACATATCAGACTGCATTTTGGGGCAGCTCTTTCTGCGACCACGCTGTTTAGTTCCCCACGTGCATCATTATCAAACTCAACTCTGCAGAACGGACATCTGTGCGCAAACGTATTTGATGTCTGTGTAGGGACATGGAAACATGTGATCTGAGTCTTTGTGTCCATCTCCTGGAACCGCGCAGGGGGGCCCGAGGGACGTACCTTAAATGGCCAGACGATTCTGCACTGTTTGCAACACGTGGTACACCCCAACTGTTGCCACTGCCCTCCCACGCAGTACCCGTTCCCCCAGAGCCTGAAACACTTCGCGCGCCGATTGCATTTTCCCACATTGCATCTACGATCGAGCATCTCTTGTGCGATGGGCTGCTCGGCCATCGGGGATTCCAGCAGGGCCTTGCCGGCTGGCTTTGCCCATCCGCCGGTCGGCATCTGATATGCCAGCTCGAGCACCCCTGAGCGTGCAGCACGCGGCGGGCGCCGTGCAGGACGAGGTTGAGGTATGGGGGGGAGCACCAGGGGGTCCTGGAGGAAAATCTTGCGGTGGCGGCGGTTTTGGTGGTGGTGGTGGAGCGGGAGACGAGGAGGCTGAGGCGCTGGCCTGCGGCACCAGCGGTGGCCCTGAAATGGGGCGTGGGCCAGCCGATGCCGCCGTGGCCGTCCGAACCGCTGCTCTGGGTGGCTGCGGCATTGAAGCTGCGGCCTGCTTCCCTCGAAGTCGGCGTGGAAGGTGGCGAGGTGCTTCAGCAGCGGGCCTACTCACTGGAGGACAATGCAAGTCATCTCCTCCAAGAACTGGTTCAGTTCTTGGAGGAGATGACTTCCGGCCGTCGGCCTCCGTTTCGTTCGTCGGCGTTCGGGGCCTTGCTTCCCGCAGTGCATGATATGTTTTCTGAAACCTTTCCACGCTCAATGCGTGCCACCGTACTTGCATAACGAAATTCCCTCCGCCGACACTATCATCCGTCCCTGCGCAATATTATATCGAAATGCTGTTATTTCAAGTATTGCTCGTGGCCCATCTGCTGCATGTCTGTGAATCCATTCATCTCGGCAAGCTTCTCGTCTCGCATCGCGTCTCCATCTCCTCGCCCGCTTGCTCCAGGCTGTCCTATTATTCGCAATGCTGGCCCTTTCCTCATGCCACCGCTCCCGCGGAATATCCGTATACTTCATTGTCTGTTCCACTTTTCCAAGGTGCCGATCGGATCCGAAGTCGCTTTCATCCCACATTTCTGGTCGTAACAAACTCTTCAGCAGGATGTAGCTATATATGTATAACAATACTGCGAACGAGCCTTTCTTCTGGCAGTCATCTGATGGCCCAGAAATTGGAGGCGGCGCCGATCTATGCATATCTCGATCGCATCCAAGTTAAGCGCCTTTTTTTCCAGATCTTGCGCCGCCACCTCATCGTCCGACGTCGCGACCCGTCCCTGACGCAGCAAGCCCAACACGCATTCATTCACACTTGCATGGTACTTCTTGAGCTCATACTGCGTAAAAATCGGACTCTCACATCCAAGCGATAAACGCGCTATCGCCGTGGCCCGACATGACATGCCCAAATACTTTCGATCAAGCCTCGGACAAGATAATGGTGCATGTAGCCGACGCCAAACCATGCCCGTCTGCAGCAATATCTTCTCCGCGTCCGTGGTTTTCTTGCCGTCGCTGCGTGGCCATGCTCCGAGAAATCAAGGGGCCGCTGCGTGCTCTCGTGATGCGTCTGGTCCTGCGCTGGGCCGGTCCTACTTACCCGGATGGACAGATTCAGACCATTCCCCCAGCGCCTTCTCCAACAACTTCCCGATCCCCTCCCGCTGGGATCTTCTGGATAACAAATTCGCATCGTCTGCAAACCTCATCTCGAACAGCTTGACCAAGGGCCTCCCTTCTAGTGGTCTATCACGGACAGCTCCAGGACGACGCATTCTGGTTCCTGTGTCAAATTCCGTCTGAGACAAGTCGACGCACCCCATGCCCTCATATCCTTTGTCCCGAGCCTGCTCCTTATAGTCATGCATGGCCGAGGCGTGAAAAATATTAAATGCAACTGGTGCCGACGGGCATCCTTCCTAGAAGCCCCCCCAATAAATATGGTACCGACAATCCCTCTCTCGTCTTCAGCTGGTAGCTCGCGTCCTCATGTAGCCCCTTTTCATCGCGTTGTTCAGCGACGCTGGTATAGCCAATCCCCCCTGATTCTTGTAGACAGCTTCTCTCGCCACTCTCATGCGATTTCATTGTGCCCGCGCACGTCGCAGCAAGGGGGTCGAAGTCTGGCTTCTTCGAATAGTTCGCATCTTGAGCTGCCCTCAACAGTGATCGCACAACAAAAATAGGACCCGCTACCGATCGACGCCGTCGAAATCCAAACTGGGCTGGAGGCGAAATATCGTTATCTCTAATCTTTTCGCAGCCAGACGAGCAGCAATACGCAAACTAATAGAAATCGGACCAATCTGTCGATGCGCATTCGGGTCTGGCCTCGGCCCCATCCCTCTCCATAAGGGGGCTCCCACTGCGGCCTTCGCATTCTTCTCCCAGCTCGGATGCTCCGTTCTCCAGAGACCCTGAACAAAACCAATGACTACGTCAAATATCTCCTCGCCCGCAGCCCAGGTCATGGAGATCGCCACCTTGCCCTGCCCAGGCGCCGAATCTTTCATCTCCAGGATGCAATGTCGCACTTCGTCTCTAGTCGGTAGGAGGCCCAACCCTTGACTCCCAGGTAATGCTGGCAAGCCCTCTCTCCAATGCCGCGTCCTCCACTTTTCCAGGTAGTCTACTGATCTTCTTCAACTGTGCGATCGTACCATCCGCGGACACCCGCTCTTGACCCTCGCGCGATCGATCGTGGACTTGGATCCCCAACTTTCTCAAATCACGATATCACAATAAAAAGACACCCCGGTCATTCGTCGCTGCGAAGGACATCAGATCTTGATTGGGCGGTTTTGCGGCGTGCGCGACATTTCGAACGTAACAAATCTTCCTCCCAATTGCTCATGTGCATCTCGAATGCTCCGCTCGCCCACAAAATCCCCAGCTCTCTGCCGCTGCTCTCATATACGAGCACGTCATTGCCTTGGGACTATGATTTTCTGCGCGCCCCCCCCCAGAAAAGGGGCGCCAGCTGGTTCGCCGCCTTTCCCCGTCCCGAGATGCTCTCTGCAGCTTTTGCCATGACATCTGAGGCCCGCGTGCATGTCATATTTGTTTGCAATGCTTCCCGCTCCATCCCTACATTATCTGCACGTATATTCTCCACTGGCTGACGGTCGCGAGTTGGTCGTAGTAGTAGTATATCAGCGGCGGACTGCCGTTCTGGATCACCTGGCTCTTCATCATCCTGTAGGTCCCCCTCATACTGTAGGTCCTCGAGCGGGTCGGCATACTCTGCATGCACCGCCAGCGGTGGAAGGCCAGGATCCGACTCAAGTATCGGCTGTCCGCGCGCACGGTGGGACTTGCGCCCTAACTTGCGCCCTAGCGCCCGGGTGTGCCTGCGCGCTGCTGTCAGAAAGTGCATCCCGCAACTTGGGTTCACGTCTGGCCCCCGCATCTGCATTCTCATCAGCTCGATCGCTGCCCGCGTCTTCCGAATGGCCCTGGACATATACCATGCAGAAATCTCTCTCGGCTCGAACTCTCCTGAAAAAAGCTCGGCCCGTGGCCATCAACTTCTGGTTGTTCTTTGCTCTGCAATTCCCTGCTAGCATGCTAGCCGCGCGCTGTGAATCACAATGAAGTGTTTTCATATTTTCAGCGGCTGTCTTGTCTAGCGCCCACCACCATGCTATAATCATGGCCGGGAATTCCCCCGCGCTATTTGCAAGGTGCTCTGCTCGCAAGAATATTGATCGTAACTCTTCATCTTGTAGGGTAACCAGTGGACCAAAAAAGGTCAGTCCACTCCTTCGTTTCTGCCGCATTGATTCCAACCCCCCATCCCGCCCCCTCTTTAGTGCCCGAGCCATCTGTGAATGTGTGATAGTGTTTAGTACTTCCACTCGGCTCTACTTTAAACGGATGTCTTCTCTCAATCAGGGCCCAGCTGGGGTCTGCTTCCAACAACTCAGTCACTGTTGCTCGATGCTGTGCCCTCAGAACTCCACCGCTCGTGGCGTTGGGGCCCGAAATCCCACCAGCCTTTTGGGAATCGGTGGTTTAGGGAGCTTCCTCTTCCACCCTCCTTCTTCCCCTTCGTGGAGGGGTTTACCCCGCCCCCTACCCCTCCCCTGGACCTGGGCACGGGGTTCCGCGAGGTGCTGGAGCGTCCAAGACGGCCTCGGCGAGGAAGAGGGGGTCTTGGCTCTTTTGGCCTCCTGAGGGGGGGGGGGGGCTCTAATCAAACGCCCCCCCTCCTGTGATCGATCTCGCCCAAGATGGCCCAAAAATGGCCCCCAAGGGCGCCCCAGAAGGGCGCCAAGAGGTGGCCAGGAAACCCAGAGAAACCCCCAGGATGCTCCCAGGAGGCTCCCAAGAGACCCCCGAGAGGACCCCGAAGACCCCCAGAGGCGCCCAAGATGTTCCAAGATGCCTCGGCGAGAATGCCAGATCATTGATTGCACTAAGGTTTTAGCCACATGTTGGCCTCTTTTGGGGGGGCATTGATTCAGATG